GTCAGGGACTAAACCATGATGTGTCCACGTCTTGCGTCTAAAATATAAAACTATTTCCAACACAAAAATATCAATTTACTGATATTACAAATTTCATTCCATTCCTCTTATTTCTGATCAGATTTCCTATCAAATTTCTCCTCCACAATGAAACCTGTAATGGCTGGAATATAATAGTGTACTGAAGTGGCCCCTCTCTCAGTCGATACTCACATAATCTGTGGGATCGATAAATGGCAATAAAGAACAAGAGGAACTCCTTTCCTGGAGGTAACCTGATTGAGTAAGAAAGTTGAAGAAAGAATCAATTCTTGTAAAGATAGAAGAATGTAGAGGGAAGTCTGAAACCTGCTTGTTTATTATTCTGTTCCTTCTGATAATCACATAACAAAGGGGAGTATATCATTCACTTCTACATCCAAATCTCATTGAGCCTTGAGTCAAATCAAATAGGATAAGAAAACCAAGGCATATATGATGACATACACTGACGATATATCTCAGTTGTAACACACTGTTGACATGTATATTGATATACACGGACGATATATGTCAATGTATGTTGATGTACACGAACAATATATCTCAATGTACGTTGATATACGCTGACAATATATCTCAGTTGTAACACACTGTTGACATGTATATTAATATACACTGACAATATATGTCAATGTACCTTGATATACGCTGACGATATATCTCAGCTGTAACACACTGTTGACATGTATATTGATATACACTGACGATATATGTCAATGTTCGTTGATATACGCTGACGATATATCTCAGCTGTAACACACTGTTGACATGTATATTGATATACACGGACGCTATATCTCAATGTACGTTGATATGGGCTGACAATATATCTCAGTTGTAACACACTGTTGACATGTATATTGATATACATGGACGATATTTGTCAATGTACGTTGATATACGCTGACCATATATCTCAATGTACCTTGATATACGCTGACCATATATCTCAATGTACCTTGATATACGCTGACGATATATCTCAGCTGTAACACACTGTTGACATGTATATTGATATACACGGACGATATATGTCAATGTACGTTGATATACGCTGACCATATATCTCAATGTACGTTGATATACACTGAGGATATATCTCAGCTGTAACACACTGTTGACATGTATATTGATATACACGGACGATATATGTCAATGTACGTTGATATACATGGACGATATATGTCAATGTATGATGATATACGCTGACGATATATCTCAGTTGTAACACACTGTTGACATGTATATTGATATACACGGACGATATATCTCAATGTATGTTGATGTACACGGACAATATATCTCAATGTACGTTGATATACGCTGACAATATATCTCAGTTGTAACACACTGTTGACATGTATATTGATATACACGGACGATATATCTCAATGTATGTTGATATACGCTGACGATATATCTCAATGTACGTTGATATACGCTGACCATATATCTCAATGTATGTTGATATACGCTGACAATATATCTCAATGTACGTTGATATACGCTGACTATATATCTCAGTGTAACACTGCTGCCATGTATGTTGATATACACTGATGATATATCTCAATGTATGTTGATATACACGGACGATATATCTCAGTGTAATACTGTTCACATGTATGTTGATATACACTGACGATATATCTCAATGTATGTTGATATACTCTGACGATATATCTCAATGTACGTTGATATACTCTGACGATACATCTCAGTGTAACACTGCTGACATGCATGTTGATATACTCTGACGATATATCTCAATGTATATGGATATACTCTGACGATACATTTTGGTGTAACACTGCTGACATGTATGTTGATATACTCTGACGATATATCTCAATGTATGTTGATATACATTGACGATTTATCTCAATGTATGTTGATATACTCTGACGATATATCTCAATGTACGTTGATATACTCTGACGATACATCTCAGTGTAACACTGCTGACATGCATGTTGATATACTCTGACGATATATCTCAATGTATGTTGATATACTCTGACGATACATCTCAGTGTAACACTGCTGACATGCATGTTGATATACTCTGACGATATATCTCAATGTATGTTGATATACTCTGACGATACATCTCAGTGTAACACTGCTGACATGCATGTTGTTATACATTGACGATATATCTCAATGTATGTTGATATACTCTGACGATACATCTCAGTGTAACACTGCTGACATGCATGTTGATATACTCTGACGATATATCTCAATGTATGTTGATATACTCTGACGATACATCTCAGTTGTAACACACTGTTGACATGCATGTTGATATACTCTGACGATATATCTCAATGTATGTTGATATACTCTGACGATACATCTCAGTGTAACACTGCTGACATGCATGTTGTTATACATTGACGATATATCTCAATGTATGTTGATATACTCTGACGATACATCTCAGTGTAACACTGCTGACATGCATGTTGATATTCTCTGACGATATATCTCAATGTATGTTGATATACTCTGACGATACATCTCAGTGTAACACTGCTGACATGCATGTTGATATACTCTGACGATATATCTCAATGTATGTTGATATACTCTGACGATACATCTCAGTGTAACACTGCTGACATGCATGTTGATATACTCTGACGATATATCTCAATGCATGTTGATATACTCTGACGATACATCTCAGTGTAACACTGCTGACATGTATGTTGATATACTCTGATGATATATCTCAATGTATGTTGATATACTCTGACGATACATCTCAGTGTAACACTGCTGACATGTATGTTGATATACTCTGACGATACATCTCAAACACAGGAGACTGGAACCTACCCTGGAACCCATCGAGGAAGACAAGCTTGAGGTACTTGGGATGTAAGTTGCCCAAGAATTACGGAGAGATTAGTGTGGGGTGTTGGGGACCCATTTTACTCCAGATCGCTGACTTGGACATAGACAGAAATGCATCAGGTACTGGGGATCTATTTACCCACAAAATCCCCATAGGGAGACACTCAAGAGGTGCTTGGTATCTATTTTGTCTCAGAACCCTAGTGGAAGAAAAGTAGAAGGTTCTTGGGACCTGTGTTGCCTCAGAATCTCCACAGCTCGGGGTATTGGAGCAAAATACAATTTTGTCATTTTCACTGAAGAGAGCAGCTGCTGAACAACATCAAATCAAATTAGGAAATAAAACTTTAAAAATCCCCAAACCAAACATACTTTCACTGTCCCTGAAGGAATGTCCATTACATTATTGCCGCTGTAACCAGAAGAAACTTTCACTGATTCATTTTTTTAACATCTGTTGGGACAAACTGAAGATGTGGAAACCAGAATTGTATTTCAGGAAGATCTTAAAAGGATGCAATGGATGACAAAAGGGTGGGTGCTTATCTTGACAGGAAGTCGATAATGTCACTGGATGGTATGCAAAAAAATGGCCTTCTCTTCAGAATATTGGCTTAATCACGCCAATCTTGTCTAAAATGGAAATAGAGGATGTAGGACACTGCAAATGTCAAGTCATCGTCTGATGAACTGAAGACTTCGGGTTGGGACTATATACATGATAATGGTCCCATCTCTACAAGAGGCACGATTAGACTGTTATCTTTACAATGATGTCGCCAGTCAAATCACCGATTTCCCTCAAGCTAAATTATTTTATTGTAGGGATGTGATGATAAGGGATAATTATGACTGCCCCAGGGTAAAGTACGTAAACGCTGAACACAAACTTAGTTAGCTGAGTGATGCTGACTCGGAACTCTTTTAATATTACCAGGAGGCAGCATTTTACAGTTTGACGTGAAATAACTCATGCTCCACACACAGAGCTCTGTGTCTACACCTATGACAGTATGTTTGGGCAGGATATATCATGGGGATTGCAGCTTTAGTCAAGCAATATCACTGTAGTAGCATCTTATGATTGACTTTAACATGCAATATGATAAGCTTTACACAAACAATGTTGTATCTGTATTTGCAATCACATAAGCAGTACTGCCTAATAAGGAAAACAAACTCATTTTTTAGCTTTGGGATGTGTTTGTTTGTTGCCTTGAGCTGCAACAATATTCAAGCATTTCTCCTTTGAAAATGTATGAAATAAGGCCCGATCGCCCGAGATGGGCTAGATTTCTGACGGACAGTCTAAATTTACAGCAAGCCAGCTTTGACAGTCTGGTGCAAATTTTAGATGTTCCATACATCTGAGTGAATCCTTGGTGTCTTGGTTAAATCCATCTTGGGCTGGTTACATTTTGAAGTTACCAGCCCTCATGTCTGGTTGAGTTTTTGGCTTATTTCATACACTGGTTTCATTCTCTGAATGCTTCTGAAAGACTCTCCCTGTGCCATGTTTATAGTGCATGGTGTGCCCATTACAAAGACTGCTCAATAAGCGGACAGTTTGTGAGTTTTCTTATTGTATGGTTGGCTTTTTAGGGTGATTATGGTAATGTCTGCGTGGCCGAATTCTTTATCTATACTCGGCAGTTTGACTTCAGGATGGCTTTAATAAGCCGACCCTGTGTCAGTTTTCTTATTGAATGGTTTGCTTTTTAGGGTGATTACGGTAGTGTGCGTGGCTATAGACTCTATCTGTACTGTACAGTTGGATCTCTGTGTTGTTTTAATAAGCCGACCCTGTGTCAGTTTCCTTATTGAATGGTTTGCTTTTTAGGGTGATTACGGTAGTGTGTGTGGATATATACTCTATCTGTACTGTACAGTTGGATCTCTATGTTGTTTTAATAAGCCGACCCTGTGTCAGTTTCCTTATTGAATGTTTTTCTTTTAAGGGTGATTACGGTAGTGTGCGTGGCTACTGCTATTTATTCAGTACTGTTCAATCCCTGTATGATTTTGATAAACAGTCCCTTTGGGATTTGTTAGTGTATGGGGGCACTTATTACAGGGACTACAGCAGACGTACTCACCTCAAAGTAGAAGGGGTATGCATTGGGGCCGAGCTTCTTGATGAGTCTCTCCTGTAGGCGTGTCAGGGGCTTCTGGTGCTCCTTGAGGGGTGGATACACCTGTAGGGAGGACAGGTATAGGTCCTTCCGGAACGTGAGTCCCAGAACATCCAGGTCCTCTCGCCCATAGCGGAACGCTGCCAGAACATGGGCAAACACTTTCCTGTCCTTCAGATACTCCGGGTCGACCAGCACAACGCCATCTGGTGGAGACAAGTGGAAACACTGTATCATCGGACAGGTGCCAGGAAACGGTGTGCAAGTAAATATATACTGTCACCCCTATCACTACATACCACTGTTTCCTCTGTTGCTGCTATTTCCTGACAGCACCAGGAACCACTGTCAGACATCCTTACCATATGGAATAGACTGATATCAGAGGAACAAGACGGACATACAGTCCCAGAAATAAACTTATCCTATTTAAAACTATATCTACAAAAAAACAAAACAAATGGACTGAGTTTGGTTTTACGTTGCTTTCAGCAATATTCCAGCAACATCACGGTGGGGGACACCAGAAATGGGCTTCACACATTGTACCCATGTGGGGATTCGAACCCGGGTCTTCGGCGTGACGAGCCAGCGCTTTGACCACTAGGCTAACCCACAGCCCCAAAAAACAAATGGAGCTTAAATAATCCTTAAACTTTAGCCGAGAGCTCAGGCAATGTAGACTTGCCAAATCATTCTAACTTGTGTTCAACTCCTAATTAATCATGTGATTTATTAACAAGGAAGACTGGCTGTCAGAGAAATGTAAATGCATTATTCTGGTCTAATGACATTACCTATCACTGTCACTTCAAGACCTACAATATATCAAGTTTATATATAATCTAAATAATGTATCTTAAAAGATATGTGACGTAAAGCCCAACTTAAATCAACTAAAACATATGTGACGTAAAGCCCAACTTAAATCAACTAAACAATATGAGTTAGTGAGTGAGAATGGGGGAGTTTATGCCACTTGTAGAAATATCCAGCAATATCGCAGCAGTGGGCACCAAAACTATGCTTCATAAATAATGCCTATGGTGAGAATCAAACCCAGGCCTTCGATGCGAAGACTAAACATATTGACAATTACCCTACCACCCCATTATTCTCTGACAGGCGGAGCTAAAACAATTGGGGACGAACAACAATATATAGAAAGAATGGGTGTGGGGGGGTATTTTCAGTGATTTTCAGTGGCAGCAGATGACTGAAGCACACCTAAAATATCTAGAGCTGTAGGAGCTAATGTGCTCAGGAAGAGTCACTTAGAGTTACCTGTCTTGGTTTTTACACAGGACAGCTAAATCTCATCCTTTTCCTAGTTTTGTGATGGACAGTTGGTAAAGGCTGGTATAAGAACAACAGCCTATTAAAGACCTTCTACAACCTAATTTGCATTTGATCTACTTGCTTAGTAGGGACACTGTATCTATCTAAACAAATCATATCTTGCCAGCTTCCGGGACTAATCAGATTCAGGGGTGGAACATGTGCTTGTTTCAAGACAACTGACAATGACAATTTCAGGACATTCAGAGAGCACAGCATGTTGTAGAGCCTGCTTCTTATTGCTACTGTAGGCTATTCAGTTGTATGGCCTTGTGTGATTGTCAAAGTGTTTAACTAGAATTTATTAACTATTCATTCTGTGCAGACATTTACTGATTTCACATTTACTGTAATTTCTGAGTTAATCTTCGTGTTGCAATTTGGAAATGTCCCATTATAGTGCCTTGTCTGACGATTTTGGCTAATGAAACCATCAGATCCTGGCTTGGGGGAACAAGCTCTAAACAGCTGATGTTGAACACGGTATCAGTAATAGGATCCATGTCCACAACGTGTAATCAAATTGAAAATGGGATCTATGAACAAAGTTTGCTGATAAGGTCCAGAATATGTGAAATTAGCTTGTAATCAGACTTAAAATAGGATCTATCAACAAACTTGACAACTAGGAACCTTGTGTAGAACTGACACATTCACAAAGTTAGCTTGTAATCAGACTTAAAATAGGATCTATCAACAAACTTGACAACTAGGAACCTTGTGTAGAACCGACACATTCACAAAGTTAGCTTGTAATCAGACTTAAAATAGGATCTATGAACAAACTTGACAACTAGGAACCTTGTGTAGAACTGACACATTCACAAAGTTAGCTAGTAATCAGACTTAAAATAGGATCTATGAACAAACTTGACAACTAGGAACCTCACAAAGTTGACAACTAGGAACCACATTCACTAAAGTTAGAGACTTAAAATAGGATCTATCAACAAACTTGACAACTAGGAACCTTGTGTAGAACCGACATTCACAAAGTTAGCTTGTAATCAGACTTAAAATAGGATCTATGAACAATTCACAAAGTTAGCTTGTAATCAACAACTAGGAACCTTGTGTAGAACTGACACATTCACAAAGTTAGCTTGTAATCAGACTTAAAATAGGATCTATGAACAAACTTGACAACTAGGAACCTTGTCTAGAACTGACACATTCACAAAGTTAGCTTGTAATCAGACTTAAAATAGGATCTATGAACAAACTTGACAACTAGGAACCTTGTCTAGAACTGACACATTCACAAAGTTAGCTTGTAATCAGACTTAAAATAGGATCTATGAACAAACTTGAACAAACTTGACAACTAGCTTGAACCTTTGTGACAACTAGAACCTTGTGTAGAACCGACACATTCACAAAGTTAGCTTGTAATCAGACTTAAAATAGGATCTATGACTTAAAAATAACAAACTTGACAACTAGGAACCTTGTGACAACTAGGAACCTAGAACTGACACATTCACAAAGTTAGCTTGTAATCAGACTTAAAATAGGATCTATCAACAAACTTGACAACTAGGAACCTTGTCTAGAACCGACACATTCACAAAGTTAGCTTGTAATCAGACTTAAAATAGGATCTATCAACAAACTTGACAACTAGGAACCTTGCTGTACTAGGAAACTAGGTAATCAGACTTAAAATAGGATCTAGAACAAACTTGACACATTCACAAAGTTAGCTTGTAATCAGACTTAAAATAGGATCTATCAACAAACTTGACAACTAGGAACCTAGAACCGACACCAAAGTTGTGTAGAACTAGGATCTATCAACAAACACATTCACAAAGTTAGCTTGTAATCAGACTTAAAATAGGATCTATCAACAAACTTGACAACTAGGAACCTTGTGTAGAACCGACACATTCACAAAGTTAGCTAGTAATCAGACTTAAAATAGGATCTATCAACAAACTTGACAACTAGGAACCTTGTGTAGAACCGACACATTCACAAAGTTAGCTTGTAATCAGGCTGACTGTGGGAGTGACTACCAATGAAATATCCGACAGATGATTGTCTTGTATGTCTAAATTAATCACCTAATAAATGTCACACTACAAATTACTTCACATAGGCTACAGTAACTCAATAAATCCACATTTGCTAGTTAAATTATTTCAAAAGAGAGAAATTCTGCCGGACCAACTTACCTATAGGATCAATGTGAGTGAGATGGTCGATGAAGTCTCTCTTTCCCAAGTAGGTTGTTATCTGAAAGACAAACAAGCTAATTAGTAAAATACACCTGGTAGAAGAATAACCAAATCACTAATTGGGCAATTTGTCAAGTGATATACAGTTGAGGGGTGCTGGCAATCGGTGTCTCGCAGTCCATGTCCTTCTGTTTCTGGTTGTAAATGCACAATGCCTTTTAGAGAGTAGACAAATGTAACAGAGTTGTATACTCCCCAGGGAGTTGAGATTGATAATACTGTGTACCATTGAGATTGACATCCAATGATCGAGGGAAAAATTATCAGCACCTTGAGCAAGCACTAGTTACCTGGATATGTGCGCTATATAAGTATCCTATAATAAAAATAAAATCTCATATGTAGGCTTTCTTTGGGAAAGTACTTATTCAGGTACTTTTGGGGGTTGAGGCCTTCTTGTTTTCAAACCCAATTGTTGTTTGTTGTTTAATGCGGAACGCTTACTAAAGTTCTATCTCCATGATGACAGCCTGTAAATGATCAAGACTGGACCAGACAATCCAGTGTAAATGCAATAACTGTACTTTACTGACATTTCAAAGAATAGAATGAATGAGTTCATTTAACTGTCCTTCAAACAGTATTCCTGTGATAACACAGTGTGCCATCTTGATGTGTGTTAGGGTTAGTGATGTAGGTCTTAGAGTGAGTGAGTGAGTGAGTGAGTTTTATTCCGCTTTTAGCAATATTCTAGCAATATCAAGGCAGGAGGACACCAGAAATTGGCTTCACACATTGTACCCATGTGGGGAATCAAACCTGGGTCTTCGGCATGACGAGCGAACGCTTCAACCACTAGGTTACCCCACCGCCCCGCACATCTAACAGGTTTATCATTCTGTCGGAGTCCATAGGAACTAGTATGCCATTTCGATAAGGAAATTTCCTTGTTTTTAACCTTAAGGAGATTAAGGTTTTTATTTAGAACATGAGGAAACTGTATGCTCATTTATTTTCTGCTTCTATTGAAGTTAAGGAAAACCAAATTCTATGGATTGTCAACTTCTTATTGCAATGAGTGAGACGTTTCGGTGCAGGTACTAACACCGTTATCAAGCAAGAAATCCATAGAACTTGGTTTTTCTTCACCTATACAACTTCTAAAAATGCCTCTCAAAGAAGTTCTATTGAGGTTACATTATTTATTATTTATTGACACAAGAACTGGTCAACCATGATAAAAACCACACACCCAGTATAATCTTTTATCTTCGTGACAGATGAGTAAAACAATAAATAATGTGTCGCTTAGGAATGAACACATGAAGCCTCATGTCTGGTTGTCTTTAAGATATACCACGCTGTGGTGGCAGTATAACATTACATAGCTCCTACTGTGGAGGGAATAAATATTTATACACCATGTGAAAACATTACATTCTTCCTCTTCCCAACAACCCTAACATAATCGATGCAATCGCTGTCATGATACGTTCTTCAATTGATAAATAAAGGATGTTCCTGAACACATTTATCAAAGACAGGATCTAATATGTAAATGAAGTCGCATGGAATAAAATTCCGCTCCAATAAATATCAGCGCCTCCAAAGAGCTGTTTGATCTTTAATCATGAATCGCCACGGCAACGTGGATTATGTGACACTTATACAAGAAAATCATGCATATTGCAGACTAGATGATCTGGGTGCCAAAAATGTCTGTAGAATAACAAAACAAGAATATGATGAGAAACGAGATCATTTCCGTCATCCCTGTTGCATTTTAGGAGCCGCTAGGATCGTTATCTCATGACCGTATCAGAAATAACAAATTCACAACCAATTTCCACTGATAATAACTTCTCACCTGGGATTCACAGAGCGATGCTTAATGATGTATTAATGGTCAAGTGACTTCACACTAACTCATTAACATTCATGGTCAATAATAACATACGTTGCCATAGTGATGTGGCCTAGCTCACATAGTGGAAATTCATTGGATAGCGTAAGTGCAATGGTTCCTATCCCATGTAACTTACATCATATACAGACAGTCCTGTATGTGAGTGTATCATAAAGTATTGAATGATAAGATGAATATATCAACACAACTCTGAGAGGTGAGGTGAGGTGAGGTGAGGTGAGGTGGGGTGGGATAGCCTAGTGGTTAAAGTGTTCACTCGACATGCTGAAGACCCGAGTTCAATTCCCCACGTTAGGTTTAATGTGTGAAGTCATTTTCTGGTGTACCCTGTCTGATATTGCTGGAATATTGCTAATAGCCATGTAAATCCAAACTCACTCACTCACCCTGAGAAATGAAGGAGGTGCAATGGGGTTTAATGTTGTGTTGAGCCATGGGTGTTCATGTGAGTGCAACCCGTGAAGATCCGGGTTAGATTGATCTTCAGTAACCCATGTGTGTCTTAAGAGGCGACTAACGGGATCGGGTGGTCAGGATCGCTGACTTGGTTGACACATGTCATCGGTTCCCAATTATGCAGATCGATGCTCATGCTGTTGATCACTGGATTGTCTGGTCCAGACTCGATTATTTACAGACCGCTGCCATATAGCTGGAATATTGCTGAGTGTGGCGTAAAACTAAACTCACTCATGTGAGTGCATGCATGCTTCTTAGTTTTTATGTGAGTGTTTGCATGTATGCATGTGTCTGCGTGTATAATTAAGAAAAGTTAAAGCAGGTTGGGTCAGATAACCCTGTGACTGACATCATGAACATCCATGGTGTCAGGGTTTGACACAATCGATGAAGTCACTGATAGCCGGTGATCTAACCACGGCTGGATATGACGAGATGACTCAGTTGGAAGCGTTATATACCAGAATAACTGACAACTGGCTGCACTCAATCCTATCAGCGGACATTACTGACAGACACTGTATTATAATTTGATGATATGAGACATGTATTGAAACTATGACATTTAAATATTTGCAATATCTTGATGTCTGGATCTGTCTGTCTCCCTCGATTGATGGTAGTGGTTGCAGGCAATCCCTCAAACAGCATTCGGTGGAATGAGTGAGTGAGTGAATGAGTGTGTGGGTGATTTCATGAGTGATTTCATGGGTCGGTCGGTGAGTGAGTGAGTGAGTGATTTCATGGGTATGTGAGTGAGTCTGTCTTGACTGTTTGTAGTGGTTGTGGCCATTCTCTCAAACAGCATTCAGTGGAATGAGTGGATTGAGTAAGTGGGTGAGTGAGTGGGTGAGTGAGTGCATGAGTAGTTGGATGAGTGAGTGATTGTTTGGGTGAGTGAGCGGGTGGGTGGGAGATTTCATTAGTGGGTGAGTGAGTGGGTGAGTGCATGAGTAGTTGGATGAGTGAGTGAGTGTTTGGGTGAGTGAGCGGGTGGGTGAGATGAGTGAGTGGGTGAGTGCATGAGTAGTTGGATGAGTGAGTGAGTGTTTGGGTGAGTGAGCGGGTGGATGGGAGATTTCATTAGTGGGTGAGTGAGTGTGTCAGTGTCAGTGCATGAGTGAGTGAGTGAGTTTACATCTGCTTCAATCAGTATTCAGGTTATATCTCACATGTGGGCCAACTGTGGGAGGAAACAGAGGTTATCCATGTCCCCAGTTAAAACAGCAGAGAACGAAACAATACCCTTGTCACATATATAGAAGCAGCTGAATTGAAACTTGCAGACAAATCAAAAGCCTTTTATTATTTTCATGTGGATCCATGTGAACAATAAATACCCCAACTGACCAAATGATAAGCATATAAAGTACAGTTACTTGTACTAAGATCTTGCTGTTTGGTCAAGTTAAAATCCACAGAACGATGGCGGGGATCCTAATAATAAATTGTTCACCAAATAAAACAATCTGTCATGATTATTTAGTCAGATTAAATCATCCTTAAAGCAACAAATAGTTATCAAACTATATGGCTGGTTCACTAAAATCCGTGAGTGGGAGTGTTTGTGAAATGTTACTGTATAGTAGTCACCAATATTCAAGCTACACTAAGATCTTGAGTCTGGCCAGCAAACTAGTGGTAGATAACATGAGCATGACTTTATTATGACATCTTATTTTCCACTGCATTCCCAAAACTCTCACAAAACTGTGATGAAACTCCTGCAACATTGCTTTAGTGCAATAATCCTTACAATGTTAAACCCTGTTTCATATCACATGAAACTCGGCGGACTTGATTAGCTAAAACTAAACGTTGTGAGAAATCACTGATAATGTATTTTGCCACAGTTTGTAACACATTCCAAATTATTGTACTTGGCACTGTTCTACAAAGCGATATTGGTACTTAGATGATTTTAAACCTTCATAATTAGATAAAGAGTGAGTGAGTATGGTTTAACGCCGCTTTTAGTAATATTCCAGCAAACTACGGCTGGGGACACCAGAAATGGGCTTCACTCAATGTACTCATGTGGGGAATAGAACCCAGGTCCTCGGCATGACGAGCGAACACTTTTTTTTAGATTTGTAACCTCACAAAGAAATTTAAAAACATGTAACTATCATTAACCAGACCTCAAGAAGATCTCCAAAGTCTGTCTCACAGTACCACAGCCATCACCTGCTCTTCAAACCAGTCCTTACTGTTCAACTATAGCTCTAAATGTAGCAAATCTAGATTTTTCAAATATTCAGTCTACCATTACACTGAGTCTCCTTTGCAGTCTATTTAAAATACATTTGTTTTAACCAAATCAGATTGTTTCGGGCAGTTAAGTATTGTTCTACTGAAGCCTTTGAGGTACCAAAGGTTCCTTTCAGTGTGGCATTTGAAAGTTTTGCCGATTCCGTATCTATGTGCATGTCGGCATGGACATGCTAACATTTCACATTCTCACAGAAAGGATAATATCTCACCTCTAATGGAAATTGTCAACATAACAGTGAAATATTATTCTCCAAATGTACCATGTGATTATCCAATCTCCAGCATGTAATCAAGTCGAAGGCTGAACGTTCTAAATCACAATGAAATATCACTTTGAGACCCATGTCATACTGTTCTGTGTGGAAGCCATGTGGGTTGATTTGAAAATGGAAATTAGCCATAAAAGTGATACTTTATTTTGCAAATCCCTGTAGGTGAGGACATTCCATGATTAACCCTGGATGTATTTGACAGGTATGATGCTGATACTAAAATTGATTCGCTAGCTGCAACATTTTCAGTTCCCTTTTGATGTCTGTGAGTAAATTAAATGCCTTATTATCTAATCCACATATATTCCATACTATTTAGAGTAAGTGATTGAGTATGGTTTTATGCCACTTTTAGCAATATTCCAGCAATATCACGGCGGGGGACACCAGAAATGGGCTTCACACATTGTACCCATGTGGGGAATCGAACCTGGGCCTTCAACATGACGAGCTTTAACCATTAGGCTACCCCACCACCCCATACTATTTAGAGAATAATTGACAAGCTACAATAAATACTGACAATCTGCCCAGACTGAAGGACTGATGCAAGTGAGGAAGGAAGACAGATCATCTGTAATTGTGAGTTATGAGTAGATCATCCTACATGTTGGTTGTTGACATTTTAAACATGTTGAAAGAAACAATAATAAGAATACTTATAAAATGTCAACCATACGGAGAATCTTCACTGCCGGCAGCCGATTGTTTGATGGCATAATGTCATCAATATGTCGTGCCACGAACAATGGAATGGTCGTGTTTATCAAGCGTGATACACTCAATGTCACTCGGCTTCAACTGAACGAGCAGAATTGGAAATCACTCAAATGCACAAATGCAAATATGGAGAAGATTGTATGCAGGACTATTTAACGCTAATGAGTAATATTTGCACATAATGAGCTCCGTTGGACGGCACTTTAAAAAAAGCTGACAATTTTAACTGTTGCAGAGGCCCAGATAAGCTGCGTATACGGGTAAAATACGCATAGAAAATTTCCAATTACGCATTGAAAAATAATTGTTGCGTACCAATTACGCATCTAAAATGTTAGATACACAAAAAGTTTAAAACAAATGCGTACGGTATATATTTATAAAATCGCTTGCGTAATGAAAAAGACATTGATTGCTATCAAGTTGTACTGTTAGTATAGGACTAGTGTTGTACTGTCAGTATAGGATAAGTGATGTTTTTTATGAAATCATTCCCATTATATTTAAGTTGGTTTTGATTAGGTATGACATAAGGCAGGACATACCTGCTTAGTAAACTTACTCAATGACATATATACTTAGGTGAGTAAAATGACTGAAATACGCACATATTTGAAAGCAGTGGGTAACGGAAAATGAAAAATACCCACTCAACATTCATAATACCCACTCCAAAAAAAATTACAGTGGGTACAGTACCCACATGAGCTAAATCTTATCTGGATTGATCACCATACAACATTGCTAGTATTGGGAATTGGTTGAAATGTCACAATTAATGATTGGTTCATTACCAACAAACAACCATCGAAAAAATTGGTTAGCGACATTTTCAGGATTTTTCTATTCAGGCTGATATTGCAGATAAGTATAACACGATACAACTTGCTACTTTAAAGTGATGACTAATATATCATGAACATAAACTTCCTGGAGTCTTCAAGAAATATTCAGTCATGACTTTTCAGTAAGTGATGTGAGTTTTCGAAGAATTAAACATGTTTTCAGGCCCTGACAACTTCTAAGATATGTTCCATCATCAAGTGTTTCAAACACTAAAACAGTACTTCCAAAATCGTTTGTGTTCGATTATGAGAAAATGTGATCGATTGCTTGGTCGTTTGGTCATTGCGACCGATCTTTGATTATTTCAATTAATCGGAACACCACTAAACATTACTACAAAGTGCAATAATCCAGAAGTGGTTGTGTTTTGTTATGATTGTATGTTTTTCATTGTTGATAATTTTACATTAGATTTTTCTGAAAGCAATTTTATCTTTTCACTTTTCTAAACCATCAAAGATGTAGCAGTTGAAAAGATTTACACTGTTTGTTTTTTTTGTAAAGAGTTCTGTGCCCTATAGCTGTAGTCATTGTAATCACAACCAATAAAATTAAAAATCTCTGACAAATAACTAAATTTCCAGCAGCTGTATCTGATTGTTTATAACGAATGGTTGACTCTAGCTGAATTAACCCCATACCTAAAAAAATATGACAAATTTAGCTGAATAATGTAAGCTCTAGCTGCCATTATAGTCTTCCTTACAGTAGCACCATGTATGTGATATTGGCTCGTATTTCCATGCTGAACAATTGGAAGCTTTTCCATTATGACAAGGTATGTCCCTAGTGGCTGCCATCTATTCAATATTAATGAAGCTGGTAACATGTTGTATATATTCCGTACAGCCTCACTGCCGGTGGTGGGAAGTACGGTGTATATCACACATGTTGTCCACATCATTAGATGTCACAGCCTCCGTATCAACATCTGTTTACACACACTGTCACAACTAGGTGATATTCACAAGGGTTAAATAATGCAGTCACCTACACTATTTCTTTTACATCTGATGCAAATATTGGTAACTGAAAGAGGAGCGTCGATGAGTGAGTGAGGTTTAATGCTGCTTTTGGCATTCCAGTTACATCACGTTGTGTAAATTTAACAATGGAGCTAGGCCCAAACTTAAACAGGCATCAGACACATGCCACTTCGATGATACCCATATGTATAGCACGAACAAACCTACATACATATCGGGACAAACAAAGATTCGAAGCCTTGATCTGGCATGCTCAAGGGTGGCAAATCTGCACAACGAATTACAGTACCATAGACGACTATGCATCGGAATACCAAAAATCATTATCTCTCCGATAAAAATGGAGAAGTTATTTTAGAGTTAAAATACTAATAATATTGTGCTTTGCAACATTATCTTGGAACACCCTGTTTACCCTCTCCAAAAATTCCAGAAATAAATAGTTGGTGTCCCTCTCAAGAAACATACTGATCTAAAGTAATTTTTCAAATATGAATGCTGATACTTAAAGGCACAATGTCACAATGTATTTTGCCCTACATGATATATATTGGGGCATATGCACTTACTTTAGCTTCCTATTGATGCAATAAAGGACTTATGATCCCTTACGACTTGCCTGAAATCGATAATTGAAACTTCCAGGCTAACACCTTCCAAACACTTGCCAGATATGGAATATAAACAATGGCTCCATACATAAAAAACTGTTGCATGCGGTGTCGTTGGTGTTTGCCGAACTGGTTTAAATCACAAGTTGTACGTAGAATATTCGTAAACAGCACTCCAAGGGACATAACTCTATGGGATTCGCTTGAAATACTGTTTAGCCGGCAGAGGGTGCGAGAGTCAATATAATGCAACATTGCATTAATTCATTCAAACTTATATTGTAAACTAAATACGTAATTTTGTTTGGAATAAATTATATGGTAGCTACCCTGAGGGCTGATTGGTAGTATTATTGAGAGAAATGCATTATTTATTTTTAGAAAAGTATGGTGTGACATAGTGCCTTTAAACGATAAAAAGAAAATGATTTCTACATACCTATAATACGTGGAGGTAATACTTATCAACCTTACCTACTCTGCTAACCATGAATCATTGAGCTGTAAACACGTAGACCTTATGTTTCTAGGTGAGTTCAGATGGCAAAAATAGAAATTGTTCTTACCTTTCCATTGGGGCTGCTTTTCTTGAATACTCTGTAACACAAACAGACAGAGTGAATCATACGACACAGATTTTCATGAATCATAAAGCCGAAACAACCTCTGGGCCACCCAGTGTACAACACTGGCGTATTTAAATCCTGAAACCAGGAGTACTTAGCGTCTTCCGAGGATCCACTTGGTTGAGTGGTTGAGTGACTAAGATTATTGCATGTGTTTTTGTTGCAATTGTATTTTAATAATGCCCCTATTGCATGGGTCGTGTGAGAGCAATATACTAACTTTGAGGCTTGATAATCACATTAATTCACGTAACAAAAAGTATAAAGTACCATTGACATTGTGAAAATCAGCCATTTTCCTTCCTGTTGCTCATCAAATCAAAGGGAAGTAACTCTAATCCTTGCTTTTCAAGGTAGAACAGGTTTGAAATTCAAATGTAAAACTGAGTTTTTATGCCGAGTTCATGCCTGATTTATAACGAATGTTCCAACAACTAAAAAGTTCCACTGATTGTTATGCATACTATCGACAATACAATTGGCTTTGTTATATTCCCTTTCAAATTGCAGAATCAGGGCAATCAACTGTAAAACATCGATACATCTCATTACAATCCTGCTATATATAATAAACTTTGCCTTGGTTGTATTTGGCCATATCAGCACTACACTAACAGTGCCCCAGTTATATTCAATCCTGTCATTATGACATTAATAGCACCACAAGACATGGAATAACACCAGGAAGTTCCAACCCTATGGAATACAACACCAATACCCACTCACAAATGCCATGAAGATACACACACACTATCGGAAAACCATTTTTCATATGTTCATGAAGCTATTTTCTTGAAACTGACCCCAAACATATGACTCTAGCTAAAACAACTTGTTAATATAACAAGTGACCTTTGTTTCATGTTCAGTGGCAATCAGAGCGGCAGACATGAGAACATCCTGAACGATAATATCGTGTAGGACCTGCCTGCCTTGATGGAGACGATTAAGCATATTCTCAAATTGAAAACATATTTCCGGAAGCTCTCTAATCTACAAGAACATGGCCGCCAGGTCTGATTATGATCCAGACTTCGCAGCTACCAGCAAAGACCTACTGTCTACCTTGGCAACATGAAAGCTGACATGAATATGAGACATATAAACAGTTCTGGACAAATCCTTTTACAGGGATCAAAGCATCGGAATAAGTGGCTTCAATCAGCAACATGATCTGTCATTGATGGATGTCGGAACTGTGAATGAGGAACACGATGATGGGAGGAGGAAGTGGGTGAGTTGAGTGAGTGAGTGGTTGAGTGAGTGAGTAAAAGTTGCCACAAAGTTAGTCTGCAAGAGTGAATGAGCAAGCTATTGTTTCACTTTCGGTGGTGGTAATTGTGATGATGGTGAGGGGTTGGTGTGTGATGATGATGATGATGATGATGATGATATGAAGATTTGATGTGTGCTTTCCAGTATGATGCTTCTATTGCACACAGTGTATTATTGTCTTTGAAAAGAGTGAATGAGTGAATGAGTGATGGAGCAGTTTATTCTGTCTCTTGCACGTCTACAATAGATTGATCATTAGTTTACTCACTTCTATCAATATTCCAGCCATATCACGACTGGTGGCCAGCATTCAGTTACATTACTGGGAGCTAAGCAGCATTGTTCCAGCCACGTGCAATGGATCCGGCTGGACAATATACTCCAATATGTCTGTGCATCACTTTATTATTGGGACACAGGATGGGACATTAGCATCTCTCATGTCAATTTCTGTTTTCACTATAATTTTAGTGTAGTCCACTTCACCAGAAGTCACGCTTGGTCACGCAAATACAGGTTTGCAGTTCATTGATGTCTAACAAACACTTGGTATTCTGAACAGAACTGCAGTACATCACATCATATGTTCAAAAAAACCTTTATAAGGCCAAACCAATTTTATTTCTGATGTTTTCTGAAGACAAAAATCCGTAAAACAAGAAATAAAATTGGTCTGGCCTAATGAGGGTATTGCTTTCTAAATGTCTGTTGAACACATTGCAACTGTGTAGAAATGAACCTGAACTTTTCTGTTAAGCACCTTGACCATTGTGCCATGCCATCCAACTCAACTCCTTAAAAGCTGCGAAAATCATATCAGAAGAATAATTGCAGCATCTTAAGTGAGTCAAAGATATCGTACCCTATTGTGTATGAGTAAATTCATGTCACAGTTGGACTAGACAAACCAATGCCACTGTACAGTTTTCCGTTTTATCAAGGCAAGCCAACCCAGTGTGGGAAGCAAGTCTGTTATGATGCCTTCAGGCCTAAAAACATAACCTTGGCAATCCACGATTCGAACTGACAATCAAAGGTTTCTGCGATGTCCCCAAGGATTTGCACTGCCCGAAATGACTGGTACCCCTAGTTTCCTCCCAACCTACCCACCACCATGACAGTTTGAATACAGTGCATACCTTGTGTCTTAAAGCAACATCTTAAATGCTGATGAAAATTGATTACCAGACATGAAATATGACATATAACTGTCCAAAAATATCTGATGCATCTAACAGAAACCACATAATTTCATACTGCTCCTGGATGGGTATCAACAGTGAAACTATAAACCAATAACATACAAAACGTGATAACGATTTATGCTGACTCTTGATGGTCCTTCTACACAGCCTTGCCGCGAATAGGTGGAAAATTGCTGATGCGGCGTAAAGCAACAGTCATTCATTCATTCATTCATTCTACACTGCATGATGCTAACCATTGGGGTCGGAGGGGGTTAAGAAATGTGAGACGGTCATATAAAATAACAATGCCATCGTCAAGATGCATTTTGAGCACATGATTGAATAATGTTTCTTGACTGACAGGTGCACAATGAGGTTGACGAATGCAGGTTACACGTGTGTAGATTAAAGGTGTCTAGATTACAGGTGAGAAACCAACCTTGTCTTGATGTCCACAGAAGCTCTAGTTGCTTTGTTGTTTGTCTTAGATTTGGAAGGCATCGAGAATTTTGGTAACAGTATTCCAACACGTGTGACTCCTCAATGCTGAACCTCGACAGGTGAATGGCCATCGACGCCACTTCACCTCTTATACCCCAACAATTAATCCGCATCGTGAAATCATGCACACAATCGTGTAATTGTCATGGACTGCCTCGCCACGTGATATTAACCCCATAACTTCTGTCCACCTAGCTTACCAGACATATATTCCTAAGAACTTCTATTACTGACTGGGGTGGGTTAATCCACTTATACAATGCTCACATGGTTGTACACGTTGTATACAACGTCACATTACTGTGCTGATCAAGTCAACAATTAAGCTGATGAGATTACAAATATGGTCACGCACCCTGTAATAGGATTTCCTCCCATCGTCGTCAGTACTGTGATACTTGAAGCATCCAGTACTCAGCTCATATTGGCATTGATTCCCCAGATGTACAGACCAATCCAGCTACTTCTCATCACAAATTTCCCTTTCGTTCAATCAAATTAAGAAGTGATGGTCGCAGTGGTAGCCAAGAAGTGTTGACCTTCAAGGAAGGTGTTAATAACTCCAAGGTTGCGTCAGTTCAGTCTGTCTGTCCATCTAAAGGACGTGACACAACAAGAGGAGCTGACTATAACATCCTCTTCACTATGCAGGATAACTTTTCATATTTTGTTTAAGATTGATGTTTAACGCCACAACCAGTAATATTCCAGCTGTACATCAGCGACATTCCAGTTATACAATGGCAGTTGAATAATCAAGTTTAGACCAGACAATCCAGTGATTCATATCATGAGCATCAGTCTACACAACTGGGATACGATGATATGAAGCAGCCAAGGCAGCGAGCCTGACCCTGTGTTTGAAATACCTGCCTGGCCGACCGCCCGGGAGGGGTTATTTTCAACACAGACTGCCAGATGCTTAAATTCACCTGCCGATGGTTGGGTTAAAATTTAGACATGTATATGATGATATTTTGTGGGCAGTTAAGTTTTGGTCAGGTCAAGTTTACATCTAACCAGTCCTGTGGTCTGATTGAAACTTTTGGTAGTTTCATACCCTGCCTGACCACGTGATCCCATGGCCTCCTCTTACAAGCAGGGTGGCTGGGTAGCCTAGTGCTTAAAGCATTTGAGCGTTGAAGACCCGGGTTTGATTCCCCACATGGGTGCAATGTGTGAAGTCCATTTCTGGTGTCCCCCGTCGTGATATTGCTGGAATATTGCTAAGAGCAGAGTAAAACTAAACTCAGTCATTCTTACAACATGGCATATAAAGCATATGGCTAACACTGTTAGCAGTGAATGGGTACCAGGTAGTATGACAATGTGAATGGAAATCATGTAACACCTACAGGCAATGTATACTGCTCAGGGAGCTGAAAACCTTAGTTGTATATTCTCGTGAGTGAGTGAGTGAGTGAGTGTTTTTACTATTTGATAGTGATGCATAACCACATGTTCATGGTCAGAATCTAACAATGGCCTCCCCTTTCAGAAAGATTTCAGAGGATTAAGAGAATAACTTTGCTTCACATTTAGATCATTAACGGTGTCCCTTTCCTGTATCGTTTTGTTTGTTTGTTGTTTTACGCCAGACTCAGCAATATTCCAGCTATATGGCAGCGGCCTGTAAATAATCGAGTCTGGACCAGACAATCCAGTGATCAACAGCATGAGCATCGATCTGCGTAATTGGGAACCGATGACACGTGTCAACCAAGTCAGCGAGCCCGACCACCCGATCCCGTTAGTTGCCTCTTACGACAAGCATGGGTTGCTGAAGACCATTCGAACCCAGATCCTCACTGGTCCCTTCCTGTATCGATGAGTATGGATAAAGTGGCACTCAACACACATGATCCGGAGCCCTGTGAGGATGGTTTGGCTTGGTATCGTGGTTAACTGCCCGTTGTACCACAAAAACATCAATCCATGCTTATGATGTCGATCATTGAATTGTCTTGCCCAAATTTAACAAATTACAGCCCACTAATTACAGCCCGCTAATTACAGCCCGTCATCACAAAGCGGGAATATCACTGAGTGTAACACCATCCAACAAACAAAACTACTCTTCACTTACCCGTAGAAATCACGGTCACACATACTCCTGTAGCAGTGCATACCAACATAACTCTGGCAGTAGTTATTGACTGGCAACAGATTTCAATAACAACAACAACTAATGCTTGGAACATTCAACACAAAACAACTATATCAGCTTTTTCCTGTTTTGTTAAGCATTAGATGTGATAAGAAAGATACTACATCCTTGTCCCACAAACCAGAAGACAAATGAACATCCGGCTTACAGTTCACGTCCAGTACTACTAGGCTATATTTACACTAGACTAACGCTCAGTCCCTGAATATATATGGTTTTGATAGTAACAAACAAACCCATTTAAATTGAAAAGGAGCCACAGGGAGACATAGATTAGTTTTGCTTCATTTAGGGATTTAGCACTGCAGAGAGGGCGAGGTAGTAGGGAAAATAATGTGGTTCAGGGACTGTGAGGCGGACTATACTTACACTAACATCCAAAGATAATCAAAGGTAATTATTTCAGATTTTTCTGGCCTTTTATGTTTCATTTGTTGATTTACAAAATGTACGAACCACGAAGATGGGTGAAAACATTACTTATAACTTTCAACTTCCATATCAGTACTTTACAACTGAGTGAAATATAAACAAGCTTTTACAAGACACTGAAAGATAACTGTTTGCATTTTAGTGGTAAACATCAATTAACATAAATTATTTGTACAATAACAATTTTGTCATGACACTAACTGAAGAATTAGCAAGAATTGGTGTTTTTTCCCCTCTCAAAACCCTAGTTGACTTTTTTTCTGTTTTCTGCACCGTTAAAAAGCTAACATAAAATATAACTTATTGTCATAAAATATTTCAACACCAGAATATTCATGAGAGAGTGGGGGCACAGGTGGAAAAGCAGTGGAATGCACGGCACTTTACTGTGCAGAGTTACATCCTTTGGGCACACCAGAAACCAATGATAATGAGTTTGAATCCTGTTTCAAAGCAGTTCACATGTAATACATATATCACTTCAGGCTTTCCTCCCAAACAGAGTGAGTGAGTGAGTGAGTGAGTTTAGTTTTATTACGCTGCTTTAAGCAATATTCCTGCAATATCACGGCGTGGGGCACCAGAAATGGGCTTCACACATTGTACCTATGTGGGGATTCGAACCCGGGTCTTCGGAGTGACGAGCCAACGCTTTAACCAGTAGGCTACCCCACCTCATTTCCCAAATATAGCTGATAGTTGCTATATAACTACAATAAAGAGGCATTAAACTAAATTCACTCACACCATGGAACCTTAAAATGATAAATATGAAATAGTATTAGGACATTTGATCAACAACAGTACTTCAGGCCAATTTTCTGGAAACTACACAAAATAATTATTGAGCCGCTTGGGAAACTCATATCACCCTTGCTTCCTGAATATGCAATTTTCTCAGAAAGCTAATAAAATGTTCCTATTCTTAGAATAGACAAGCACTAAGTTTCTACTCCATCATTGATAAAACCATTGATCTGGTTACAAACTAGTAACTAGCCACACCCATTGGTTGTCATGGAAAAGGGTCTTTGCTTGGATATGAAGACATCTTGGAAGTTATTCTTGCCTATATGCAAAGATGTGATCATTTTAGAAACTCTAAAATCATAAGAATGAGTCATACATTACTTTTGTCAGTTTCTAAGAGGCTTTTCCTGCATGAACCAATTATCATCTTGGAAGTTATTCTTGCCTATATGCAAAGATGTGATCATTTTAGAAACTCTAAAATCATAAGAATGAGTCATACATTACTTTTGTCAGTTTCTAAGAGGCTTTTCCTGCATGAACCAATTATAAGAAAATAGACTGATGTGTGTGAAATAGAAATATATTGTTAGTGCTGATGTGAGTAAGTGAGGTTTTATGCCAATTTTAGCAATATTCTAGCAATATCACAGCAGAGGACGCCAGAAATGGGCTTCACACATTGTGCCCATGTGGGGAATCGAACCCGGGTCTTCAGTGTGACAAGTGAATGCCTTAACCACTAGGCCACCCCACCGCCCTCAAACATGAGCATTGGGCATGATGATCTAATGCTTTACCATCCTATGTTCAGGCGCAGAAGTCAGAAGTAAGGGCTGGTCTAGACAGTAGTGAGGGAGGTTTTGCCTGTTGTTTCAGACTTTCAAAGACCTTTAAAACACAGTATTCCAGCAATATGACGGTGGCCGATGAAATTTGGACCAAAGAGACCATTAAAAGCAATGTCTACAGCTTTTTTGGTTCCATGAAATGAAACACATCGCTAAATGTAACAACCTTTTCAAGCAAATTATTCTCCTTGTACAACCTGTAGAAATTGTTAGTGCCCAGAGTGAGTGGTTGAGAGAGTGGTTGAGCAAGTAGTTGAGTGAGTGGTTGAGCGACATGGCCAGGTGAGCTACAGCGATGACCTTGTACAGCCATTGCTGCGGTAGAGAGGCACTGACGTTGACATGGCCAGGTGAGCTACAGCGATGACCTTGTACAGCCATTGCTGCGTTAGAGAGGCACTGAAGTTGACATGGCCAGGTGAGCTACAGCGATGACATTGTACAGCCATTGCTGCGTTAGAGAGGCACTGAAGTTAACATGGCCAGTTGAGCTACAGCGATGACCTTGTACAGCCATTGCTGCGGTAGAGAGGCACTATTGTGTGCATGGCCAGATGAGCTACAGCGATGACCTTGTACAGCCATTGCTGTGGTAGGGAGCACTGACGTTGACATGGCCAGGTGAGCTACAGCGATGACCTTGTACAGCCATTGCTGTGGTAGGGAGGCACTGAAGTTGACATGGCCAGGTGAGCTACAGCGATGACCTTGTACAGCCATTGCTGTGGTAGGGAGGCACTGAAGTTGACATAGCCAGGTGAGCTACAGCGATGACCTTGTACAGCCATTGCCGCGTTAGAGAGGCACTTACAGGCTAATACTATTTGAGATCAGAAGATAATATTGTCAATACTGACATCTACCTGACAACCCCAGAATTTATAGCATGTTATTTATTCTTTCAAGACAGCTAAGAGGATTGTCACTGATTATGAACATGTGGTGTTCGAGGAGCTAGATGAGGCTTGATAACGTCCTGATCGATACACTGTAGTTACAGGGTGATTTCTCCGCTTTCCAACGTTCTACAGAGATGTCACGTTGTTGAGCTGGGGCAGGGGTCCAGCGTTTTCATTTAAGGGATTTGGTTGATATGAATAAATTCAGAAACCGTTGATGAACAGTGAACTTAGTACACATCAGTCTGAGGTAGCACTGTTGGATACACTTGTGTCAGTACTTATACAGGTCAGTTGCCTTGATAACTGCCTGGATATAACTGAAATATACATGGCGAGAACACATCAATACACTAAATTCAGCAATGAGATAATAACCTACACACTGGACGTCATTATGAGATAACTGCCACACTGGATGTCACCATGAGATAACTGCCACACTAGATGTCACTATGTGATAACTGCCACACTAGATGTCACCATGAGATAACTGCCACACTGGATGTCACTATGTGATAACTGCCACACTAGATGTCACCATGAGATAACTGCCACACTGGATCTCACCATGAGATAACTCCCACACTGGATGTCACTATGTGATAACTGTCACACTAGATGTCACTATGAGATAACTGCCACACTGGATGTCACTATGTGATAACTGCCACACTAGATGTCACCATGAGATAACTGCCACACTGGATGTCACCATGAGATAACTGCCACACTGGATGTCACTATGTGATAACTGCCACACTAGATGTCACTATGAGATAACTGCCACACTGGATGTCACTATGAGATAACTGCCACACTAGATGTTACTAAGAGATAACTGCCACACTAGATGTCACTATGAGATAACTGCCACACTGGATGTCACTATGAGATAACTGCCACACTGGATGTCATCATGAGATAACTGCCACACTAGATGTCACCATGAGATAACTGCCACACTGGATGTCACCATGAGATAACTGCCACACTGGATGTCACTATGAGATAACTGCCACACTGGATGTCACCATGAGATAACCGCCACACTGGATGTCATCATGAGATACCTGCCACACTCCGAACCCAGCTGAAAAGGCACCATGGTTGACCATGGTCAACCACGGCTTACCACGGTAAACCATGGTATTACCATGGTTTACCATGCTAAACCGTGGTCACTAACATTTCTCCCCATGGTAGACCATGGTAGACCATGGTCACCATGGTATACCACAGCAGACCATGGTCACCAGAAACCATGGTAGACCATGGTCACCAACATTTCTCCCCATGGTCTACCATGGTGACCATGGTATACCACAGCAGTCCAGAAACCAGTCGCAAACCAGAAACCAGGGTAGACCATGGTCATCTTAGACAAAACTATGATAGACCATGGTGTTGTTCTCATACAAAGTAATGGTTCACCATGGTCATCACATACAAATCTATGGTAGACCATGGTCATGACAGACCAATTTTACATTTCAAACTGTGATAAATAAAAAAATTGAAATTAAAATCCTGACTGTTTCATGACATTGTGTTTCATTTATGAATAACAAAATAACGGGAGCATTCAATGAAGTGTTACAAAAGCATTATACTAATAGCATTACAAAGGACGTGTGTAAAACATCTAAGTGGCAGATAAAAAATGTTTTTCCTGAGTTAGTTTGCCTTTAATGAATATTCATGACAGATATCTTACAGATCCTTGTTCTTACGTCTGTGTGCATTAAACAACTAAAATTGAACACTTCCGTCGGTGAGAGACATGTTAAAATGAAGCGTGTTTTAATGAAAAATACAAGAACACAATGTCATAAAAAACAATTATCAACGGGAACAGTTCACGCAATTTAACTTTCTCATTGTTGCTACAGAAACACACAAACATTTAAGGTACAAAGGACGCCTTATACACTTGAAAATCAAAACAAAATTAACCCTCCGCACATCTGAAAATAAAATAATTTTGCTCGCCCCCTTTGCTAAAGTTGTCCATCGAACTGTGTAAACCCCGCCCTCGTGGTCTTACTAGTTTTTCAGCCTGGTTGCCTTTAGTTGTTGTTTTATTCCCCAAAAACAGCAACAACAAAACAATGCACGCACAGAAGGCTTAAACAATATTCTGTGCCTAACACGATCCGCCTTAGAAACATAGACAGTTCTGCGTGAAACTTACCTTCTGTCAATAACAGCGTAACCAATTAGTGCTGTGGAAGATTTTAATTCTCTTTCTTTTCATCTTTACTCCATAAAATAAAATTTGGAAGTACAATGTCAAAATCGTCTTATTTCATTGAATTTCTCCCGTGAGTGATCACGATCGCAAACGCGTGCCCATACTTGTCATAAGTACGTCTTTCGCAATGTTAATGGTGAAGCTCCGATTTTAGAACACATTTCACTGTCACTTCCTGTTCAGCACGTGCAATATGACCCGGAAGAGATTACATCAAAGTAGATTAATGAAATTTAAATTATTGCCGGAGATATGTGCAAAAACTATTCTTCCACGTTATGATCGACGAAGGAACGTGTACACTGAATATATTTGTTCGCGATTCCCGTCGTTGACAATATTACTGTTTATTAATTCTAATTTTGATGTGATGCCTAGATATTGTAATTCTTGCCTTTATTTGTTAATAAGATGAGAAATTATCCACTGTTGATGCGTGAGTGTTGTTATGAAGTACCTCGATCGCTGTGATTGCAACACGGCCACGCGCTCTTCGTGGCTTACGTAATCTTATTGCGACTTCAAGAACGGATAGCACTAATCATACAGCCTTTTACATACATAATTACAATACATCCCTAGTCGTACTAATTAATTTTTCTTTTCTAAAAATATGTTTCAACTTCCAACTCAAGGCTATTCGGGACCAGCCGAATGTAAATAGTAATGATATCTGAGACACGCTGACCGTTTCGGCACGACCGATGCCATAGCTGCTACTTGTCACGTAGACATGTGTGAGCCAAGCAAAACCAGTGATAGGCTAAACACAACTTTGTCAACACTGGCAATAGACTACAACGATCAAGCGAAGAATATCCCTAATATATTAGCAATGACGGATTTCGAGGATAATCCCGCGATGGATATGTCAAGAACTCATGATAAAGGAATAGACAAGATTTAGTGCCGATGGATACATCTCAAGTTGAATTCCAGTGGACACAAGCATGAGCCGTGTAAGTAAATAACAGCAAGATTGTAATTGTTTTGAGTGAAGATATATTGAAATTGTTTTGATGTTCGGAATACGCACATACCTAACATAGGTGACGTGGTAAGCAACAGTTTTGAGGAGAATGACGGAAAGACGATATAAGATATAGCAGTGTTCATTTTATATACAATGTACATCTCTCAAACGGAAAGTCAGTGTTAATTTGGGTTTTGTGCAATATGTTCTACATATCTATGTTAACACACACGACCAATATCTAACGGTACTTTTAAAACAACAACGACCGTTATGACTTTTTGTAGTTAAGTTATCAGTGATGGAATGGTGTCAAAGTTCACGGGCTTGTAAAGGTCAGCCTGAAAGATTCAGTTTGTTTGCTTAGATTACACAGACAGCAAAATATATTCAAAGGGTCATAAAAGGGAGATAATTGCTACAGGCACGTTTATGGATATTTCATTTTCTTTCTATCGTATTTGTATTCAGTTTTGGAATAACTACTGATTGTAAACCAAAATGACTGTGCCAAAACGCTTAGCTATTCACCTAACGTGGAAATAGCTTCACTTACAGTAAGATGCGTTTTTCTATGTTGTGATATGTTGATTATTATAGTAACGGAAATGTAAACATTTCAGAATATTATATTTGGTTATGAATGGTGATTTAGAAGCCAATTTTGTGTTTTAATTTCTAATACATGTTGTGTTACTTGGCATAGACACTTCACATTACAAAAATAATTTAAAGTAATCTGCCATCAGTGTAAAGAAATTATTTTGAATAATATAATTAGAGTCTGGTGAAAAAATATTTGCAATATGTTAAAAATATATAACATTTTGAGCAACTGTAAATATATATTTAAAAAACAACAACACTTTTTTGATATTTGCTTAAGACTGTTTGAAATAGAATGATTGTGATTAAATGTTGGTGTGTTTTTCAGATTTCCACTGGACGATTCTGAAGAAATGGTCCTAATGTTGAAACACTGAAGATAAAGTTCTGCAAGATGAGTTTATTCCTGAGCTGGAGCGTTTGCTCTTCACACTGAAGACTTGGGTTCGATTTCTCACATGGGTACAATATGTGTAGCCCCTTTCTGGTGTTTCTCACCGTGATATTGCTGGAACATTGCTAAAAGTGGTGTAAATCTAAACTCACTCACTCAATATCCCTGAACCAATATAGACATCTTCGGTGATGTCACCACTGCTCTTCCTGAAGGTTCTTCAGACTTGTGTGCATCCTGTTTCTTCTGAGAGAAATTGTGATGCCCCTTGTACAACTTCCAGGTAGATTTTTTTAAGGCCCTGTTGTAATTTCTCTGTTGGTTGTGACTCTCATTTATTATGTCTACTTCTAAACCATATAGACTAAAGTGATTACTCTTTCTGAAATTGTATATTACTGCATGAAATGGTGTTCTGAATTGGTTAATTTTCCTGGATATAGACTGCCATCCAAGCTGCCCTAAAGATGTTTTTAGACTAAAATAACAGATAAGAATATCCTCTGAAAAATGATGAACATGTCCACATGCCATTCGTCCCTAGCAGCATTACTGGATATGTAATTCTAGTTTGCTTTAGACTTGTACTTGTTGCACAGCATATCCCTCAATCCCTGTGGGTTTCCCAACAACTGTCCTCATTTAAATCTGTCACTGTCAGCAATAAAATGTGTCTTCATAATTTGAACAGTTTGTTTTCAGTGCGTGAATTTGTTTAATGTTAATTTTTCAATACCCAATATTCTAATTGATCTCTCTGCCATGGTGTATGTGACTACAATGTATATATTGTGGTATGGCGCGGTTGGTTTCTTACCATAGTCTAAATAATGGTATTCTAATGGTAA